TTTTTTTTATTAAAAATAAGCTAGGAGTTTGAATCATATAATATAATATAAAAATAAAATATGACAAAAAAAATTTTGTGTCATTATGCAATGTAAAAAAAAAAAGTTTAATTCATTTATGATAAGCAAATTTAACAAGACACTCATTAACTCAGTATACAAAAACAGAAAATAAATAAATAAGGCTACTGCAATGCGGCTGCAAAACAGCTTTTATCAGGGAAATTTGCTAAATTAAATGATTGAGTTCACGCAAAATCACCTCACCTATTATATATATATATATATATATATATATTTTTAGTATTTTGACTCAATTTACAGATGGTACCGGCATACCTCCTAACAGTCCATTACAACCCAAAGAAAAAAAAACCTATAAAAAATTCATAATTTGGAGTTATAATAATTTGTAAAGAATATTATCCATTTCATTTTTTTTTTTGAACTGATTTTACAAGGGATTGGGTTCGAACCCCAGCCCTGGGGAGGAAGGAATGCATCATGGGTGGTTATTGTCACTTGGGCCGAAGGGCTCGGTGCCATTTCATTTTTTTTTCTTTTTAATCGTTTCCATATATTTCATTTAGCACAAAAATCATTATTTCATTCAAGACCATAATAGACATAGTACTAAATTTTATTGATGAATTAGATCCTCCACCATCGCCGTAATGGCAAACCGTCCTAAAAGGCCTCTACCATTATAGTAGGTTAAGACATACACCTAGGTGTTATTTTCTTTTATAGAAAGAAGTTATGTATATTTCCCAAGATAAGTGGTTAGTGTTATTATTTAAGTGTCTAATCTTGTTATGAAAAGGGATGAAAATAAGGCTTCCAAAACAAATCAACAGGAGTTGCTTTTAATAAAGATTGACCAAATCAAAAAGAAAAATTCAAACACCTATTTAATCAACCAACCTCCAACTACTTTACTTTGTTTCATTTTATTAGCAATAATCCTTGTCCTCCACTTGAGTTCATTTACTTTGCTTTGTTTTTTTTATTAAGAATCAAATGAGTTCAATTTACACTATTCTTCTAAATTCATTTTTCATTATATCAAGAGAAATTAAAAAAAAGAGGAAAATTTATTCTTTTTTATTGACAGAGTTTTGTTGTTAAAATAATTGGATTTGTTTGTTATGATCATATTTTTCCAATTAAATCTCCATTTTGGTCCTCTACTTTGGTAAAAAATTCATTTTTAAGTCTTTTACTAAAAAAACCTTTTTCAATTTCTAAAGTTTAAAATTCGATACCTTTTTAGTCCCTCATTAAGTTTTGAATACGTAGCACATTAGAAGACAAAAATTTCAAAGTTAAGAACAGAAAGGCCTAAAAGGGGCTAAAAATAGAACTAATTTGGTCCCTCTACTTTGAAAAAAGCCCTTTCTTGGTCCCTCTCCTTTGAAATTTTTGTTATCTAACGTCAAAACTTAACGGAGGGACTAAAAATGGATCAGATTTCAAACTTTATGGACCAATTAACGAAAGGACTAAAAAGGGATTAGATTTCAAGCTAAAAGGATCAGATTTCAAACTTTATGGACCAAAAATGGGTTTTTTTTAAGCAGAAAGACTAAAAAAAGATTTTTTGTTAAAGTAGAGAAACGAAATTGGAGTTTTAATCTATTTTCCCTTAACTATTTCCCTTTTTCTTACTAAATGGATTTAGATTCAAGGTGACAGGAAGAAAATAGTGGTGACGATAATATTGAGGAAGAAAATAGTGATAAGAATAAGATAAAAGAAAAGGCTATACAACAAAGAGAGAGAGATGGAAGCTAAACAAAAAAGATAATGTGTTTTTTTTTTTTTTTATTTCATTAAGTACTTAATATCCTCAAGATATATTTCAAAATATAGTGGCATAACCATGATTAGAAAACAATACAGACTTCATCTGCATGATTGTAGCACGTCGCTTTCCTTTAGAATCTGTCAATATATTTGTATCCCCAGAACCACCACCAACAAGTGTTTGCAACAAGTCCAACAGTTTCAGCAGCTACACCCTCAGAAGCATTTCTAAGTAAGGCCATTATTCTTCCAACAGCAGCAGGAAAGGATATAACAAGTGAAGCTGCCCTTTTAGAAGCCAATAATCTACATAAACAAGCAATGAAACCCGTCACTGTTGCAGCTGCTTTAGGTGAAGGAGGCGGCATGGGAGGGGACTCTGGTGGAAGATTTGGCGTTGCTGGAAGCATTGTAATCAAGGCCATTAAAATCACCTTGGGCACTTCAATATTAGAAGGCACTCCAGTAAATAGCATACATGCATTGAACTCCCTTATTCTATGCCATAGCTTAGCTCTTGAACCAGGAATAGAACCACCTTCAACAACAGCATCTTTGGAAGCAGCAGCTAAATGTTTCACATGCATGGAAACAATTTCCATATCAACAGTGGGGTGCTGATGACCAAAAGGTAGACAAACTCTTCCACAAGGAGGATCAATGGGATGAGCAGACATTGTCAGCCTTGGCAAAACAGGAACTGCACACTGGCACTGGACAAGCAAAATGATCAATCATACCATATTAATTCACCTATCTAATTATAATAACAGCTATCATACTTGGTAAGATGATTCTGAGGCAAGACCCTGGTTATATTCTAAAAAGAACACGTCAATGTACTTCTGTTTGCAATACATTATGAACTGCTGCAAGTAGACTATTTCTTGAGGTGCTTGCATACACCTGTAATCCACACATACCTATTAGTTATATACTTTTAAAGAAATTAAGATTTTCAATTAAAGGTAATTAACACTCACATGGACAGGACATCCATCATTGAATTTGATTGCAAACATCTGGGGCTCCTTTGCAAATCGAACAAGTGAGTTCACTAAAGACAAGGGGCAGACAATAACTGCCTGCAAGCATCTAAGGGAAATTCTCAGAATTTGACAAAATTCTATTTAAAATAATTACCTAACCAACTATATCATGCAGGTAGCATAAGCATCAGTCATCTGCATTATACATCACACGTGCAGTAAATATCTTAACATTAAGATAGTATATGTTTTCTTCTGTATTCAAACTGTGGCTTCAATATTCTTCCTCTGTATTCAAACTGAGGCTTCAATATTCTATTAGATGTCAAATAGAGGTACACAAACAATTTGTCATCATCTTACCCGAAGAAAAAACTACCTGCCCTCATTATATAAACTGGACATATGAATTTCAGCAGTGTAAAAAGCAGAACATTACCTACAACTTTTATTATTTCCAAAAAAGAAAGAAGGAAAGAAAGAAAGAGGATAGTCAAGACATTTAGGGAAAACAAAATAACAAATTCTCATTTTTCCCTTGCACACCTGATATACCATATAACCAAGCTTTGCATTCAAAAGTAGTTTCTTATTGTAAATACACTCATGGACAAGAAAAATTCAAAAGACATTGAGGATAAACTAAAACCAATAATGAGTGCCAACTGAACTCATTTCCCTGCAGCTGTTTAGGGATTTCCAGCTCATTAAAGGGTATAAATCCACAAAATGAATTCACTATACATCACTATATTGAAAAGTAAATATTTCTTATTGACACTCAATTTCAGATTTAGTATTTTCTTGTTGATTACATCCATCTCACAATAATTGTCATCCTTCAAAACTAATTATACAAAATAAATGAGATTTTTTGGGAAAAAATAAAATAAAATAAAGAATTTTATGTATAATGTCTGCATGCATGCATGCATCGATAAGCTTGGTTGGCAAGGCTACGATACACATGCAAATAACTTTTTTCCACAAATATCTGATTCAACAGAATACAGACAACATAAACAAAGTGAAACTTCTTTCATTCTTAAAGTTGTGGCCTTTTCCTTATAAGAAGAATCTTTATGCAATATACTAATGAACTAATATTAGTAATGTATTATGAAGTATATATCTGGAACTCAAGGATGTTATAAGTACCAAATTTGAGGTGATTGCAGAATTTGTTGTCCCTGAAGCAGCTTGGAAAGCTTTGGATTTTCTTCCATATAAGGGGCAAAGAATGAAACCTCCACCATCAGCAATTTTCTTTCCGTAAGAATCTTATGATACTTAAAATCTTCGTTGGGACAAGGTATCTTTCATCCATCCTCAAGCCATTTATAACTATAAGCCTATTGTCATTCAAATTGGGCCAGCTATCTTATGACTCAAAGATCAACTACAAGATACATTATCGTGCTTGGCATCTCATCTATTTCATGGAAAACTAAAAAGCAATTTGTTGTTTCAAGATCATCAACTGAAGTTGAATATTGAGCTATGGCTTCTACCATTAGTGAACTTCTATGGCTTAAATCCTTGCTTCGAACATTGGGAGTTCATCACCCTCAGCCCATGTAGCTACATTGTGATAATCAAGCCACAATTCACATCACCACTAACCCAATCTTCCATGAACACACAAAACACATTGAAGTTGATTGTCATTTCATCCAAGATTGGATTCAAGCAGGTGTAATTAGTGCTTCTCACATTCATTCTAAAGTCCAACTAGTTGATATCTTCACAAAAGCGATCAATTCCAATTTCTACTCCATAAGTTGAGCATTACATATTTACATGCTCCAACTTGAAGGGATATTAGAGATTGTCACTTGCACAAATTGCACCCAATAGTTATATTGTGCAAAGGGTGGTAATATTGAAACAATCTTTTTGTACTATTTTTTTATATAACTTCCATATGTTATTAGATAAGTTGATATATTTAATATAAAAAAAGAAATTAATAAAAAAAATCAATCATTTAAGTAATACATAAGATTGTACAAAAAAGATTGTACAAAAAAGTTGTATAAAAAGATTGTCCCTAAATCATTTTTCATTGTGCAGAATCTTCATTTAACCGTTAGTATGCCTTGACTTTCCTTATTTTATTCTGCCATTATTGTATTTTATACCATTTAGTTTTAGACTTATGTAGGTTGCCTTATTTAGGCACTATTGAACTTGTATATATTGTATAAAAATTCTTCATGAATAGACGGATGAAATCATTATTTTTCACAAGATTGAGGGAAGGGAGCGCTAGGGTATGAACTATGAAGCCAGGATGGTGGCTAGAGAAGGATTGGTGAAAGCGACAAGAAAGCCGGTGGTGGAGCTTCAACGGAGAAGATGAGTTTCGGGTTATTTGTGCCATAGGCTCTTTGATTATTTTAGGGTTGATAGTTTAGTCCCTGAGTTTTTTTTTAAGGTTTAGTTCAAGTCTTTAAGTTTGAGTTTGTTGATTGTTCAATGATTAAAGTAACACGCGCTAGGTTATTGATTGTTTAGTGGGTTAAACAACAAATGTTAGTTTCAGTGTCCAAATGTAACTTAATTCCTGAGTTTGGACAAGACACCATGGTAACTAGACTGCATCTACAAGACACCATGATAACTAGACTCCATTTACAGTTGTTAGTCTTTTTTACTCCGTAAATTTTCAATTTTTTAGTTCTTGTAGTTATCTTTTGTTTGTTATATCTAATAATGATGAGTTATATGAAAGGAAATAATTTTTTATTTTTTTTTTAAATCTCTTATTATCTAATTCAAAATTCGAATTTGAGATCTCTAATTTAAAATCTCAAAATTTTCACTATTAAATCACAGAGCTTTTGTAGAACAAGATGATGTGGAGATAGTATTATTTGTCTCCATAGCCGAATAGTGCTTTGAGAAGAGTGAAGCAAGAATATTCTTACAGTCTATCAGTCTATGTTATTCAAGTTTTGTTTGTAGGCACCATACCAGTTCCGGAGAATAATAATAAATTTGTCACACTCTATACAAGGAAAAAAACGCAATATGACATTTGGTTGTGTGATTCAACTTTAGGCTCTGTGAGGGTTGGAGTACCTCAGTTGACAGTAGTTGAATACAAGGTACAATTAAGCCAAATATTAATTAATATAACACATGCAAAACTACCAACCTTAAATATTTTTATATATTATGAGATTAGTTATTTAAATTTATAACTTTAACCAAAAGTAAAAACTTTTAAATTAATAAGTTATTGATGAACTGACATTAATTAATTTTCATGACCCAAGTTTATTTCTGAGTTTTAATTCAGTTCTAATTTCTCCCCTCAGTTTATTTATTTATTATTTTTTTTGTAAAGAAATTAGGTGTAATTGAATACTGCCGTGAGGGAAAGACTTTTAAAAAAGATTCTATTTGGACATCCACAAAATAAAAAAGTAGTTGTGGTGGCCAATTAGTACAAGATTTTGTAGTTGAGCTACTTTTTGTGCTTCAGTTCAAGGCAAACCCAGCATTCAAGTCAAATTCTGTTTTCTCCAAGATTAAGAAATGTACATTTAAAAAGAAAAGAAAAAAAAAAGAAAAAAGTGAGGGGAAAGGAAAATTGGATTCAGTTTTGTCAACTCTATGCGCTATATTTTTTTGGCTAATGGTATTCTGTCAACTTTATTCGCTGGACAAGAAAAGAGAGTCGAAGTTTCTTAGATTGGAGGTGGCCAGGTGGGGTATTAATTCCAGTTATACATATTCCATTGGCTGATGATTTTGTTTTAATCTTGTTTTCTGCTTTTAATTGAAGCCACCACCTGGATTTGGTAACATATATTAGCCTAAGCGCTCAACAACTTTTTATCTCCCTTTCCTTTTTTTCCTTCGGTTTAATCCGATTTTGATTGGTACTCTGGCATTCTTCGCGAACGCAGATACGCAAGCCCGTCCGTCATCTTTTTAATTTAGAGACTTTGATTACGTTTATTGCTATGTTTGGATGATTATGAAATTTTTTTTTTTAAACACCATGAAATTTGTTTAGAATTTATCTTTAATTATTTTTTGATATTTTAAGAGAAATAAATATATTTTTTTTACTTTTTAAACATTACTATTTTGTTTATTTTAATTATCAACCTATAATGAAAAAGTTTATGTTTTATCTTTTATTTTTATTTTAAGAATAATATATGTAAAGATATAAATTATTCCTAATCCTTAATCTAACAAAAAAGTACAAAATAGCACTTAGGCCTTTGAATCCAGTTACGTAAAATCATATTTAAAATACATCCTTTTTTTTTAGCAACAGTTCGAATTCGTCCTCTTACAAATTTGTTTAAAAAAAAAACAAAAAAGTAAAAAATAACTATTACTTTGAGATAGATAAAGTGCTAGAGGAATGTTTCATTAGCATTTGAGTTTTTTTTTTATATTTAAATTTGAGAAAAATGAAATATGTATTTTATAAAACACAAAAGAAAAATAGTACAAGTAGTTTTAACTAAATAAAAATTTAAGAAGCCAGCATCCCAAGCGGTGTAATGGTAATCTATTTTAAATGAATAGTAGGGGATAAATGGTTGAGTCTTAAACAATGTATAAAACATAACAATATTACTTAAATGGAAAATGATGTGTGCACACCCGGATTCAACACCCGGGTGTGCACACTCCGCATAAAAAAAAAAAATAGAGAACACTCGGTCTATATTTTTTTTTATGTGGAGGGTGCACACCCGGGTGTTGGATCAGGGTGTGCACCAATCATGATCCTACTTAAATACTTCCCTAAGGCATATATGTTAAAAGGAATTTTTTAACATATGCCCTTAGAGCATATATTAAGGATATATTTATTGTACTTTTTACTATTAATTTGCATATAAAAAAATACAAATTGACTTTACTTTTATCAATCATTCAATTAAAATGTTCTTTGTGACATTGGTCTTGAAAATAAAGTTTTCTTTTGTAATTTTAAATACAAATTAACAATGAAGTTGTGTAATAAATGGAGAAACCCATGTTAGAAAAACCTTGTGTCTGGTTTACTTTCTTAGAAATGTCCTCCTCGAGGATTTTACAAGGGTATTTTAATATTTATACATCTTAAAACTATAATGAATAAAGGGCAAAAATAACATTTGTAGCCCATATTTTCCCTAATACAATTCTCAACTCGTAAATTTTCCTTGTTACATTTTTTCAAGGGAAAAAGTTTCCCACAACTTTCCTTACATATAACCCATTTAACAATTATTCCTATACTTTTCTTATGTCAATTTCTTACTAAATACAATAAAATTAAACCTAACAAAAATTCAACAAAATTTTATTATAAAACTTATTACTTTTCTATATAATACTTTTTAACTTTCTATACAACATTTGAACTAATTACTTTTCTAGAAAAAACTTTCCTAAGAAAGTTAGCTTAACAAAACACACCCTAAAAAAATAAAGGAGAAACCAAGAGTATATTTTATTTTATTTTATATTTTTGAACACAGAGGAATTTTGAAAAAAAAAATATTACAAGTGTTTTAATAAAAACTTGAATCTTGGTATGAGTCAAACTATTTAATGCACATTGCCATCGTCTTACCGAGGGCGGCTATTGCCAAGAGTTTATTTTATTTTATTTTATAATTTTGAACACAGAGGAATTTTGAAAAAAAAAAAAGAAAAAAATATTACAAGTGTTTTAATAAAAACTTGAATCTTGGTATGAGTCAAACTATTTAATGCACATTGCCATCCTCTTACCCAGGGCGGCTAGTGCCAAGAGTTTATTTTATTTTATTTTATAATTTTGAACATAGAGGAATTTTGAAAAAAAAAAGAAAAAAATATTAGAAGTGTTTTAATAAAAACTTGAATCTTGGTATGAATCAAACTATTTAATGCACATTGCCATCCTCTTACTAAGGGCGGCTAGTGCCAAGAGTTTATTTCAGGTGAAGTTTCCATAACATAAACAGATTGACATCATGCACTTAATTGAATGTCAAGCGTTATTGTGAAAGTGATATTTATCCATCATCTAATAACTCCCAACAAATTTAGGAAGCAATAATAATGGGAAGCCGGAAGAGAAAGTTTCAAGGCATAAACTTCAATAGCCTCCCTAATCTTTTGCCTTTGAGATTATTAATTCTCAATATATATTTTGCATTTTAGGCCATTAATTTTACATTATTATTGTAATTAGTTTAAAATAAATATATCCTATCATGTGAGTCAAATAACTATCTCTATTTCGTTACCCAATACTCGTCATTGCCATGTAATTGGCATAAATATAATCCACTTAAATCTATGAAAAGAAAAAATTCCACTCGAAACACACATGAATCTTATCTTGGGCAAGATTTTTTTGCCTTTATGAGTCTAACTAGATCATATTTATATTAGCATAGCACTAATGAGGATGGAATAAAAGAGTAAAAACAGCTATGTGAGTCACGTGATGAGATTTTGTATAATTTAGGCCAATTATAACAATAATACAAACTTATGAAGTTTATAAATTAAGGATTCACGAAATAAAGTCCAAATTAAATAGTAAAATTATAATTTATCTTATAAATTTATTAAAATATTTTTAATAAAATAACACAAAAGATAATTTTATTAAAAATATTTTAAAAAATTTATAAAATAAACAATATTTTTAGCATATAACCCATCCCACAAAATATTTCCTTTTTAATATGTTAAAAGGAATTTTTTAACATATGCCCTTA